ACGAAACGGAGAATGTACGCACAAACGCGTACGGTTTTCGTTAGCGACGAGTACCGAAGAATAACGGAGTCTTGACAAATCGTGAAATTTGCTTGAAGCGGCTTCCTTTTAACTTCAGCTATTTCTTCGTTGATGTGCAATTCAGTCGTGCTAAATTTCGGCCAGGAATCTTCATCTGACAGCAACCACTCTGGGCCGGACCACCATAGCCTGAAAGTTGATAAACTGACTGGTGTTAGGCCTCGGGTTGCGCAATCAGCTGGATTTTGCATAGTATCGACGTGACTCCATTGTGACGGTGAAGAGGTTTGTAGTATCTTGCCAACTCGGTTTGAAACCCATGTTTGCCATCGATTCGGATCGCCATTTATCCAGTAAAGCACAATCGTAGCATCGGTCCAATAAAATGTTTTTAGATTTGTATACGGTAATGACAATGATTTTTTGGTCCATTCCATTAATTCAGTCGCCAGCACTGCTCCGCATAACTCGACGCGTGGTATAGTCAACGGTTTTGTCGGGGTGACTCTGCTTTTTGCGATGAGAAGCGTTGTAAAAATTTTACCATCACTGCATTCTACCCGTAGATAAACACATGCTGCATATGCAGCGTCGAGCCATCGCAAAATACATGGAGTTGTAATGATTTAACATGATTTGGCTCATAGTTCAACCATCTCGGCACCGTGATGCAGGGCAGCTCCGATACAGTATTTAGAAAACGTTGCCATTGGTGATTTAGATTTGTTGGTAGCGTTTCATCCCATGCCAATGGTGTGAACGTGTGCTCATCGCGTTGTACCTTAAAGGACCATACCGATTTCAGGATGATTTTGGCTGCTACAATAACCGGTGCAATTAATCCCAGTGGGTCGTACAGACGAGCTATAGTTGAGAGCACTGACCGTTTGGTGGCAGTAAAATCAATTTCGAAGTTGAACCGGAATTTAAAAACGTCCTTGTTCGGTTGCCACAGAATGCCAAGGGTTTTGACGGTATCGCTGCTATTTAACTGTAAGGCATTACTGTCTGACCTGTTTTCGGTGGGAATACCGTCCAGCACCGCCGATGAGTTGCTGCTCCATTTTCGAAGTTCCATGCCAGCGGAGCGCAATGCTAAGGTTACTTGTTTGCGAATTTCGGTGGCGATCTCAACGGAGTGACCGCCAGATAGTAAGTCGTCAACATACATTTCATTCCGAAGGACAGGTGCTGCTAACGGATACGATGTACTTTCGTCTTCAGCCAGTTGGTGGAGGATTCGTATCGCGGTATATGGAGCGGAAGCAGTCCCAAATGTGACTGTCGTGAGACAATACTCCTGAATTTCATTTGCTTCGTTTCGCCACAAAATGCGTTGATATTGCGAGTCATCTGTGTGCATGTCTATGCACCGATACATTTTTTGGAATCAGGTGTAAACGCAAATTTGTGTTTTCTCCAATTTAAAACTACTGCTGGCAGATCATTTGAAGTGCGGGTCCCACACACAGTACGTCATTTAACGATTTGGCATTGCTAGTCTTGCACGAGGCGTCAAACACGATTCTTAGCTTTGTGGTTAGACTTTCCTCTTTGATCACAGCGTGGTGAGGTAATACACATGATGCGACTGTTGGAGCACTTGAGGCAAGTTTGACGGAGTGCTGCTCCTCAGTTGTCGTAGCAGGAGTTATTTGATTCAGGGTGAAATATTCCCGAATACACCCTTCATACCGGGCTCGCAATTCATCGTTGCGTTGTAGTTTTCGCTCCAGTGAATGAAAGCGGTTGAGTGCAATTTTTTTGGATTTACCGAGGGTTTGAGATTCATCAAACAAATTTTTCAATGGAAGTCTCACTAAATATTTCCCATTTGGTTGGCGCATATGCGTTTGTTGAAAATGTGTTTCACACCAGTTTTCTTCTTGCGAGAGAGATCTCTCGGTCGGTACTTGATCGATTTCGAAAAAACGTTGTACAAGTGATTCCAGCTCGAGAGTGACATGGTTGCAATGAAGACTAGCAGCATCAACTTTGGGGGTGGAAGTAGTATTGCCAGACAATATCCATCCCAGATGGGTGCGCTGGGCTATTGGTTCATAAAGTCCTCCAATACGTGTTTCTGCAATAAAAGGTTAGCGAACATGTCGGCACCCAGAAGTAAGTCTATACGACGTGGCTGGTAGTACGTAGGATCTGCTAACTGCAGTCCTCGAATATGAGCCCATTGGTTTGGCTCAATTGTTTGACTTGGCAATTTATTGGTGAGCGCCTTTAAAACAAAGGCGGTATCGACCGCGACATGGTAGTTAGGGTTCACATATGAGTGCATTGTGAAATTCACAGTGTGCTTACAACGATGCGCGACGTTGCTGCCCACCCCAGATATATCTGCCGAAGCACGGTTGCGTGTCAAACAGAGTGTTTGAACGGCATGCTCTGAAATAAGTGTGCATTCAGAGCCTTGATCTAATAGAGCACGTACTACCATGGACCGACCCGTGCCGTCGTTCTTGATCGTGACGAGAGCGGTGGCTAAAAGCACCTTACGAGTCTGCTTCTGTGACGGTTCTGTAAGAAGCTGAGCAGTGTGCGTTAACCTGGATGACGTGGGGTTTTGATGAGTCGTGGTCTGACTCTGAGTGCTTTCAACTTGAAAGGTTTGAGCTGATGGGTTTAAAGCTATTTGAGAATTGCCACCCTCGTGTGATCGAGTGGATTCATTTTGCTGTGGGGGCTTTGACATTGGAAAATGTAGAAGAGTGTGGTTTCTTTGGCTACACTGTAGACAGTTCTTCGTGCTGGTGCAACGGGAAACTGAATGAGCCCTGCTCAGGCAATTTAAACAAAGTTTTGCTTTGTCCGCGATAGACTTTCTCTCAAAGCAATATTTGGGAAGGAATTTGGTACAGCGCCGCAGAATGTGTGCTTCGCCACACAGAAAGCATGAATTGACGTTTTTCGGTTGACTAGTGGCGTGAAAACTATTACTATTATGTCTGTATAAAGTCTTTGGAGGTCGACTTTGGCGTTTAGTTGACGAAGTATTATCAGCCACATTGCTGGTCTTTGGCAGTGAGTTATTACCACACGAAATGTTTCTATTTTCAATCACATTGATGGTCACCAGACGCTTATTTAAAAATGCTTCTAACATTTCAAAGGTGGGGATGTTAACGTCACTGCCGAGGTGATATTCCCAAGCTTGATGGGTATCCTTTGGCAACTTTGTTGACAAAAGGTACGCAATCCACTGATTGCCCTGTGAAATAGGTATTTTCAAACGACTGAACTCATTTATACAGACTTTTGCTACATTGAGTAAAGACTTGATGTCGTCTGAGCACTCTTTAGTAACTGCAGATTGTGTGAAGAGCTTGTTCATGTGGTGCATGAATTGTAGACGAGGATTATTATAACGATTTACAATTAAATCGCAGGCAGTTCCATAGTTGGTCTCAGTTAAGGCCATTTGCTGAACATCTACATCGTTTTCTGCTGGCAGTGCCTTCTTTAAAAAGTGAAATTTTTGAATAGCACTTAAGTCGGTGTTGGTGTGGATCAGTCGGACAAATGCATCATGAAACGCCGGCCATTCGATATATTTACCAGAGAACGATGGCAACGGTAGTTTTGGCATTTCGATTGGTGACATTTTTTTTGGAACTTGCAGTTGAGAACCGGCAGATTGCTCCGAAGATGAAGGCGTTTGTTCGTTGTATGCTTCTAAAAGTGCAACCCGGCTATCGAAATAGCGTTCTTCAAACTCCGAAGCTACCCTGTCAGTAAAATATTGCGATTTCCGACTGGTGTCATGGTGTACAATGGTGGTGTGAGTTTTGTTAAACTCTCCATGTACTGCTTCTATCTTTTCAAGGCGAACCTGGCAGTATACCCTAGTTTTTCTCGT